ATCGCAAGAACAGAAAACCAAACACCACATGTTCTCACTCATAGGTGGGAATTGAACAATGAGAACACTTGGACACAGGAAGGGGAACATACTGGGGCCTGTTGTAGGGTGGGAGGAGGGGGGAAGGATAGCATTAGGAGATTATACCTAATGTAAATGACAAGTTAATGGGTGCAGCACACCAACATGGCACATATATACATATGTAACAAACCTGCATGTTGTGCACATGTGCCCTAGAACTTAAAGTATAATAAAAAAAAAAACTTAGTAAAAAAAAAAATAAATAAAAATAAAATGCTACTACATATGTATCTATGTGGGTGTGTGTGTTTGTGTGTGTGTGTATATGTTACATTCCTCTCTCTCCCTTAGAAATCTCAAAAAGTTGGCAACATACTAAGAAAAAGCCAAGTCAAAATCTAAGGGAACGTGGGAACCATGAAAGTGGCCACTAAAACTTTATTTACTCTGAGAATATTTCTCGAGTCTGTTGAAGTTGAGCTTTGGTTTAATAGCCATCTGGGACAAGGGATAGATATAAAAGTCAATATTCAAGGACTACAATTTTAAAAAATTAACTGACATAAACTTACAATTAAAATATATTAAAATAATAGTATATGTTACAAAAATTATACAAAGTATATAAATACTCAAAATATATACTCAAAACTTATTACTACCTAAATATCGTACTTCATCGTACTATTGCATATGCTCTTGAAATTATTTACGTCAGTTATATCTGTGTGGGGCTCAGTGCAGTGTCTCATACCTGTAATCCCAGTGTTTTGGGAGGCTGAGGCTGGAGGATCACTTGAGGCCAGGAGTTCAAGGCCAGCCTAGACAATATAGTGAGATCCTGTTTCTATTTAAAAAATCATTTTTAATTATCTGGGCCTGGTGGCATGCATCTGAAGTTCTAGCTATGCTTGTAATCCCAGTGCTTTGTGAGGCTGGGGCAGTTGGATCACTTGAGTTCAGGGATTTGAGTTTGAAGTAAGCTATGACTGTACCACTACACTGCAGCATGGGTGACAGAGCAAGACTCTGTCTCCGGGAAAAAAAAAAAAATCGTATCTATATGGTGAATGTACT